ACCGGAGCCCCTGTTGCTGATCGTGGTTTTTACCTCTACAGGGAGCAACCTCCATAGCAGCCAGCTCTGAGACCGCTTCAGGGGGCAGGGAGACACATCCTGCTCCCCCCAGCCCTGCATTTCCCCTCAAAGGTGCACTGAATGTGCAGGACAGCGTTGGAAAGGATAAATTCTGGAATAACCCACAGCCCCGCAGGCTCCAGCTGCCTGCACAGGATGCAGCATCATTCACGTCAACCGCATCCTCCCTGTACCGACCCCGGAGCGTGGCATCAGCTTCCTCCACATGCCGCTGCCATACCATGCCCAGATCGTTTCCATAGGCAAGCAGGGCCGCCCGTCTCAAGGCGTTCGCTCTTTAGACTGGGACCTAGCCAAACTGTTTATCCAAACCCTAACAGACTGAACCTCCTGCCAAAATCCAGGCTGCAACAAGAATTCAGATGCTCCAGACCTACTGCTGATAGAACGAAGGCTATCATGCCTCTGTGGCCTTGCTCGGCCCCATTTTAGTGTACATATTCAAAACCTGTCCGGTGCACTGCCCAAGTGCCCCTTCTCTCCTCTGCTCCCACCCCAGGGCTCAGCGTCCCTCACCGCAGCACCCATGAGCCAGGCTCCCTGCAAGACCACAGCCCAAGACTCAGCTTGGGGGTGGATCTGAGCTCAGACAGACTTTCCTTTCCCATGCTAGTTCAGCAGTGGCTGAAACCTTGGGAGAACCAGCTCTAGAGAGGAAACCCTACAAGGAAAACAAGCCAAAGCTAGCCAGGCTTGCAAAGGGAACCAGAGCTAGAAGAACTCGCCAGAAACCGCTCTCATAAACGCCTGACGGTCATCTGTAATCAGTCTCAAAGCATCCCTGGCTCTCCAGCTACGTCTCACACAGACTGGAACATTACCTCCCCAAATCCACCCGCTTTGCCGAGGAATGACGGGACAGGGGACAAAGCCTGGAGGAGCATCAGAGTGACCCAAAGAGAACAGCAAGCCAAACGGTGCTGAGCTCCCGGGTAAGGCAGGGATGCTTTGCATTTATTTTAACTGGTGCTTGGTGGAACATGACACCATCAAAGCTGCCTGTGTAGGTCCACACACTCCCTTATATACACACAGGCGCTTCCGAGCCCCAGCATGGACTCTGCGCCCCAGCCCCGCTCAGGTTACAGGGTGCAGACAGCCGGGGTGTGCCGAGACACCTTCCCTCCGCTCGGCGGTTTGCATTGCCACGGCTTTCTGTTGCGATGCATGGGAAGGAGCTAGGAAAAGCATACAGATCTGGATCTGCATCTAAAATCCTCCCAGGTCCATCCCCGGGATCCTGGCACTCTGCTGGGACTCCCCTCCAGAAGGGGAAGCAGATGTGGGCCTGGGAGAACCCCAGCAGCAGCTGAAGGGCACAGCGAGCTGGTACCCAGTGGCTGTCGCCCCGGCTCCACGGCTGCCCCCAGCTCGCCGCGGCACTGGCGGACCCCTGACCTAGTGACCATCGTGCCGTCGGGGACAGACCGAGGCCAGGGCGTGGGGTCACAGCCATGGCATGGTTCGCATGCTTGCCGTGTATTTTTAACGCCGCTTTGACTCACAAGGCTCTAAAAAGCACACGGCTTCTCCAAATGCTTTTTAGCTCTTCCACCAAACACCCCCGGAGCCCAGAATAGCCCCATCTACTCCCCTTTGCAAACAGGCCCCTTTTGCAGCCTCCCCAAGAAATGGCGGCCCCCTGACCTAGTGACCATCGTGCCGTCGGGGACAGACCGAGGCCAGGGCGTGGGGTCACAGCCATGGCATGGTTCGCATGCTTGCCGTGTATTTTTAACGCCGCTTTGACTCACAAGGCTCTAAAAAGCACACGGCTTCTCCAAATGCTTTTTAGCTCTTCCACCAAACACCCCCAGAGCCCAGAATAGCCCCATCTACTCCCCTTTGCAAACAGGCCCCTTTTGCAGCCTCCCCAAGAAAGAGAGGAGATCTGCGTTTCCAGCCCGTGGGAGGGAAGCGAGAGCCGGACAGAGGAGGGGTGCGGAGCCAGAGCGGGGCAGCGGGTTTGTTTACAGGCATGGACCCAGCGCGCAGAGAGGCTGCTGGAAGCAATCCTTGGCCCTGGGGTCGTCCCCGCTCCCAGCGAGCCTCCCGGCCCCTCTGCCTCCCCTCCACCCACCTCTCCTTTCGGCTCCAAAAAAGGATCACTCCCTGTTACATAATGGGATGAGCGCCGCACGGATGCGGGCTTGCACACGCGGCCTCCCTTTTACTTAACAATACCTTTTTCGGTCATGCAACCTTCCTCTCCCTGGCTGCCATTAAACTGACAGTCAGGGGAGATGGATAGCGCCTGGCCGCAGCTATTTCAGCTACGAAGAAGAGAGGAAAGAGCAGTGTGGTGGGATGCTCCGTGCAGAGAATGGCAAAAGGAGAAGGGTAGGGAGGTCCCAAAATCAGCAACAGTGCGGTCACAGCCGTCACTCGATATCACCACAGGGGATGCCGTGGGCACCGCAAGCCCAAGGGATAAAGTCCCCAAAGGAGAGGGGGACTGGCTCTCTGGAGAAGCTGGACCTTGTTCTTGGTGTTTTTCTGTTGATTCTTCTGCTCTGGGACGAGGCACACTCGGTGCAGAGCGGTAGCAATGCCCATGAAGGCAGCTGCCACAAGGCTGCAGGAGCAGCACGCTTCTCACCAAATATAAGCTGGCAGAGGAGCATCCGTCCAGCAGCAACCCCCTTCCTAACACCCAAAACACCGCTAGGACACCTCCTTTCCACCACCCACCACCCAACCCAGCCCCTGACAGGAACAGAGTAGGACCTCATCTCGTGGAGGGATGATTCCTACTCGTACTTTGTGACCAGCAACGGTTAGAGACGGGACGCGTGCCCATCTGCTGCCCCGTGTTCGTCCGCCTGTTCTCAGAGGCAGGAGCAACGATGCCTTGAATAGCACATGCTCCCAGAACAGCTTCTGGTATTTGCTCCACCTGTAAAGGGTACCCAGACGCAGTGCCAGCCAGAATGCCAGTGCCAGGGCTGTGCCAGGTCTGGCCGAGCAGCGATCAAGTTGCAAATACTTAAATAGAAGAGAAATGCCCGCGAATCCACGCTGTGTCTCTGGACAGGCAGCTGGCAGCAGGTCTGAGCTAGAGACTTCTTGATCTGCTCAGGACAGCAGTGGTCACCTGGGCCAGCCATGAGTACAACAAGTCTCAGCCACCCTTCTGCGTGGCTCAGGGACAGGGTGCAATGGAAAGCCAGCACGGAGCCCCCCTCCATTCGCAATTCTCGTCCACTGTGGAGGTAACTACATGCCTCATCTTGAATGTCCGTCTCGGGCATTGTCTGAGCTCTGCTCTCGTACCAGATCACAGCTTTCACGACAGGCAGACGCTGACTGCTCTCAGGGCAGTTCCTGCGCCCATTGCAGTATCCTGCTGAGCCCCAGCCCTCCACATGGGCTTCCAGGATCACTAAAAACCTGCCACCCTTGATTCGAGGTAGGAGAACCTCCACCCTAACACTCCTCCCTTTCAGGAGACTGAAGCGCTGTCCCAGGCACAGCCTTCTGGGTTGGGGTGGCGACTACAGCAGCAGAAACAGGGGAGGAGAGTGTTCCCTGCAGCAATCCATGAGCAACACCATCCTTCTGGCAACGAAAGATTGTATTTGCACCCTGTCCTGACCACGACACCAAGGAGTCACGGGACTTCCCAACATCAGCTCCGGCCAAAGGTTTGCCTGCAGCACGCATGGGTTCACCCAGACCCGTTGAAGCGGTGCAGCCACAAACACATTCACCCTCACGCTGCTCCACTAGCACAACTTGCGGAGCTCCTCCACCTTCCAGAGCCAGGCATGTGCTGTGTATATGACAGCTTCTCTAGTGGAAAATACCAATGCCACGTGTCGGTGCTGCAGGCTCCCTGGGTGACCGGGACACAGCTTATTAGAGGGTGATGACGTGCATATTCAAGCCCTCATACCTCTGTGCTTACACACAAGGATTGGGTTCCAGCTCATTCCCCAAGAGACGAGAGCCCATTTTGGAGAAATGGGAGCAACACCCACCTCCTCCCACCCAAGGAAACAGACTCATGAGCGATGGCCAGCAGCCCCTGACCTCAAAGCGCTCCAGCAACCTCTGCTGAGGGCAGCTTAAATTACCAACTCAGTTATAATGTGCTGCCCCGCGCATTCTGACACTGGCTTTGAATGCCTGCGAGAGAAGAAAGGGCACAGGAGAGGGAAAAGAACTGCTCCGAGGCTCCCCCTAGCCAGAGTCCTTCCGGGAAGGCTTTCCTTTTACTCTAAAGGACCATATCCTCAGCTAGTGATAGTCACCGACCTACAGAAGAAAACAGAAATGCTCTCTGTTTGTGTGTCTTGGCCTAGCGTCTTACCACACAGAGGCACTGGCCTCAGAAAAGCTTGGCAAGTACATACCAGCTGGAAAGGAAGTCTTTCCCTAATACATCTGTGGGTCACTGTGCAAGGCACAGGCACTGCTGGCCCACCGCAGATCAGAGAGGGGTGCATCAGTGAGAGCAAAGGCCCTGGGAAGCCGCGCTCCAAGCTGTTCCTTGACAAGTTGCTGTTCCCTGTGCCTGTTTATTCTCCTTTTGTAGAAAGGACAAGCTGAGCCCCTGGGCAGCGAGAGACCAGGAGGCCAGCAGAGGCCAGTCTCTCCCTGGAGAGCCAAGGAGCCGGGCACTCTCACCCTTTCATGAGGCAAGAAGCCTCCCATTCCCAGGGCTGGATCCTTCCTTTCCCCTGTTGTTAACGGGCAGGAGGCTGCCCGCTAGAGTTACGCTGCTGCTCATGGGGGAAACAGCTCCTAGTGCAAATCTCTGGGAAGTTTACATACATGCGACACCTTCTTTACAGAACCTTGTTGTTTGATGCGACGGAAAGCATTTATCTGCATTCAGGCAAGAGCTCCATTTTAGACTGTAACTCCAAAGGCAATGCCACCTCACAGAGCTGTGAGGTTGGTCGCCGAGGCCTTACCTTTGAATGAGGGTCCCGAAGAGCAGGTGGAAGACCTTCTGGATGTTCTCCGTGCACAGCCAGCTCCAGTGATCCATCAGCAGCAGACGAAGCACATCCAGGGCCAGGTCAGCCAAAGCTGTCTCAGAGTCTGCCAGGAGGAAGAGGAGGGTCAGATGAAGAAGCCAACTCAGTGCCTAAGCAAACCTGGCGGAAAGTATCATCCGAAACTCACTCTTTTCCCCAACAGCCTGCTTGCCGCTCTTCTCCCCAGCCTAACACCTTGTGCCACATGCAGATGACCTGCTGCAGCACAGCCAGCCTGGGGAGCCTGCCCTCCCAGGCTCCTGCCCCGATCGCTCTCTTCCATTTCCACTTTCATCCAAGCAGCCCCAATCTCCCTACCAAGGGGCGCACCAGACCAGAACGTGGCTGCTCCGAGTGCCCAGTTCCTTCTCAGTTAAGCCGAGGGATTATCAAACCCCAGTCCACACACAGGGATGGCAGTGTGCCCAAAACAGGTGAGAAAGAAGGCAGCGACTGTAGCCAGGAGAAAGGTACATTGCTGAGGACTATTTTCCTAGTCTTCACCAACACTTTCCCCTCTTCCAACGTGCAGTTTTCCAGGCGCAAGACTCCGTGTGCGCAGGCTGCCATCGTGTGGCAGGTCCAAGTCTCAGCAGGAAGACGGATGAACCACATCTGGATAAACCAGACGCATCAGTTCAGACAAAAACCCACACACATGCCCACATATCCCTGGTGACACAGACCTGGGACAGCAAAACCTCTCTCTGATCCTCAGGAGGATGTCAAAGCCTACAGCGTAAACACATTCTACTTGCTAGAGAATTACTGTTATGCTGCTTGGTCCCAAAGCATCATAGGTATTATGCAGAACAAGCTTATTCATGCACCACAACCCTGCCCGAGACAACTGCTCCTAGGCCAGCGCCCCAACCTGAGGCTACTGCGTCGGCTCTGTTGGAAGAGTGAGCTCCTGCACAGCAGCTTCCCCTACTCTGCCCTTCCCTGATGCCTGATCTTTCAACCACTCTCTGCCTACAGAGAGCCAACGAGACTGTTCACACACGATTTACTGCTGGAGATAAAGAGAGGGATTCTGGACCCCAGCACGTCTCCTTCCCTCCTCTTCCTCTCCTTGTTGCATATGAGCTGGACTAAGTAACTCCAGGCCATTTCACTTGGAAAAGACAGGGCATGTGAGCGCATTTGCCACCTCTTGCTCTGGGCCGTGCACAAGTTACTCCTCGCTTGCTTTGCCCTTTGAGACTTGACTTCCCTGTGCAAAAACTGGAGCGGGCTGTTTGGCTTCACCATAACCCCACACAAAGAGCATCGTCAGCAAGCTCTGTTTATTCCTGTAGCATCCAAGTCCCCTTCCTCAGAGAGCTGCTAGCCAACCTCTTCCGAGAAGTCACCCAGTGAGGAGATACGGACACTGGTTGCCTTTTTAGCCAGCTGCTCCCCAGACATTCATTCCCCTTACCCTGCCAGACCAGCCTGCCCTGTCTCGGCTCTGAAGCATCACAGACCTGCAGGCAGTTGACATCATTTACGTTAAATTTTCTTAAGAGTTCAGCTAACTTGGCCTGCCTGTATCTCTTGTGCTGCGTGCAGAGCACTGGCCTCCAATTCCAGCCCTGCTCCCCAGCAGCCCCAAAACAACCGCCGGCGTGTGTTCAAAGATTATAGGCAAAGCTGGTAGCACAGGCTAGGTTTCAGAATACCAGACCCATCCTGTCACGAGCACGTGCTTCCAGTCAGAGCTTGCCAAACTTGAACCACTGGAATGAAATTTTTGGAAAGTTCTAGCTGATACAGCTCAGCTATTCCAAGAAAAAGATTAGAGAACATATTTTTGCTTGCATTCAGGATAATCTTGTAACCGCTCTGAGAGGCCGTAGCACCCCTGCGCTTCATAGTAGGGATCTATAATCAGAAAGGGAACATCATTCCTTGAACTGGGATTACATACTTGCTATTCCCACCAAATCTATCCAAACTTAGCTGAATCTCAAAATGTCCTTTCATAGCACATGGACATATCAAGGCTAACTTGAGACTACCAAAAAACCGTAATTTGGCCATTTTTCAGTTTCAAGAGTTTGATTTTACAACACTGGCAGTTTAAGCAGTGTGTCCTTAAGAAACTTATGCCTGCAGTCACTGTACTGAGCACACTAAGGTGAAGATCTACAGCGACACAAGTGAGCCAAGACCCAATTTGCTTCCAATAGCAATAAAGACCAGAGCAATCACCTAAGGGGACTGGAAAAACTCCGTTTGCCTTCCCTTTAATCAAGGTGCAACAGGCAGGAGACCAGGTCCTCACACTGAAGACCTTGCAAGCTGAGCCTGCAGATGTTGGAGCTGTTGCAGTACCAAGGGAGACACGGTGAAGCGCTAACAGAGGGGCTGAGCTCACCAGAGTCTGTGTCCGGATGCGCCCCCTGCTCTGCTGTGCCCAGCCCGTCCATATTCTCCCGCACGGAGCTTTCCTTAGCTTCTCTGCCTCCCTCGCCTTCGGGAGCTTTGCTGGGGACTGCCTCCAGCAGCTTCTCCTGCTTCTGGATGAAGGACTCCATAGCAGCCAGCGACAGGGTGCCAGAGACCTACAAAAGCACTGGTGTATTAGTACCGCAGCGGTGAGCTACACACAGCCAGAGTTGAACAGATATAGGAGATCTCCACTACCTAGACAGCCTCCCACCACCTGGTTTGCACCTTGCTGTAGCCAACAGCACAACTAGGGCTGCTTATTGCCTTTCTGCAAAGACCTGGCACGCGGGAACAAGGCTGCAGCAGCCACAATCCCCATGCACCTGGATTATCCCAAGCCAGCACCCAAACAGGGCAAAGATTAGGATCATGAAAGGATTACAAGAGGGATCTGAACTTACAGCGCTGCCCTCCCTGATAGAGTACACGATGCCGTCATGCGCTTCACTCACACTCAGCACCGGAGCAATCTTACTGGACGAGAACCTCAGCCTGGACCTGAAGAGGAGAGACACGGCACAGTCAGGGTTTTCTCCGCAAGCCGTGGGCGATGAGTTTCCCAGCCTCAGCCCAGAACCTGGACCAGCCTCAGCCCAGAACCTGGACCAACTATCTTTGTCCAGTGTCATGTCCAAGCTAAGACCTCTGATGTACTTCAAAAAAAGCATCTGCCCCCAGGATAACTGAGCGGTGGCAGTAAAACCACGCAACAAAAGCATTACAGCGCTTTTCCTCAACTCCACATGGGCCTAGCCAAGGCTTTCCAACATCCATCACATACATACACCTTCTTCGGCAGTATGTTACGTGTAAGCTTACATGCAGATGTAGGCATTTCTGTTCAGCGAGGCGTCAACATTGCAGCATACACAGGAAAGCGTTCAGAAAAGCCTCCGAGATGAAACGTATTCAGCAGAATTGTGAATTCCAATTACAAACACGCACACACAGAAAGGAGGATATGAAAGGGAGTTTGGGATTGTGGGACAAATTGTAAAATAGCCTGTTTATCATTAAGGAATGTCCTTCTCAGCCAAGACGCTTCAAAACTTCTACTTTTTTGGTTTGTCTTTTTGTCCAAAGCAGCTTTTTCTAGCAAAACATCACTTTTCTGGAAAAAAGCCATACTCGTGCAGAAACCTTCTCTTCTTCTGTAAGGGAAGAATCACCGATGAGCTCAATGGGGCTCATCACTGCCAGCAACACCGAATAAACACTTGGTGAGCCACATACGTGCAATGACCTTAAACACTACTCCTAAATAAACATGCAAATGTTTGCTGGGCAAGGTGGCATGCCACCGCGTGAAACACGTGGGAGAGGCAGGAGTGAGCCTTCAGGAAGACAACTTACAGCTGTATTTTGCAGTGACTCACCACATACATAGGTCACGCACGTGTTTAAGGGTAAAAAGCAATTCTCCAGGAGCATCAACATCTCTGCCGGCAAATGCCACCACCTCACAGCTCCCTCAGGAGGAAACCCACCTTCTGTCAAAACCTGAGCGTTCCTGGAAAATCCTTTAGCCAAACAGGAACTCAAATACCCTTGCTCAGTATGTGAAAGAGAAAGCAATTCAGCCACAGTACGACAGCAATGTATTATCCACCACAGGTAAAGCACCAAGCCAGTATTTCCCCACAATGGAGTCGGTTTATGTATGAAGTGCATGTTCTGCGTAAAGCACAGGGGAAGCTGAAGGAGCCCTTACTTGTTAGCCTTCTTCCCGTCTGTCTGAGATTTCCCATCCACTTCAGACTCGCTAAGATCCTCCGTGGGGCTCTGGGGCTCTGACCTGGGGAATGCCGTCTTCAAGGTGTCCACAATGGCATTGACAACGATCTGCAAAAGCCAGCAGTGCCGTCAATTATTGAATATATTCCTATTCCTTGAATAGGAATTAAGAGTTTTCAGACTTGCGCTCTATTTTCCACGATAACCCCCGGGCTCTTTGAGCTGGGCTCTGACTCTTCCCAGCTCTATGGCTTTCCG